ATTATAGAGCTCACCCTATTTCTATAAATAGGTGGCTCACTTTACGAATAAAGGTTACAAGATTTTACCGTTCTATACTGTGTTATTGCTTTCTCTGTTGCCCTCTCTCCCTCTGAGTCCTGTGCTCTAAACCTTAGGCATGTCTCTCGGATAATTTTGGATTCAACATCCTAAAAGGAGTGTTAAGCTTGCATATTTTTTTAGTTAATGAATTAATAAAAATCAATGTCAAAATTGTATTATATAGTAAGTATATATCGCGTTATATGATTTGTTCTCTAATAAAGTAAATCATCAAGATCAATTTAAAGCAATTAATGAATTCAAATTAAGAACAAATCATTCATTATGATGTCCATGATACAATATGATCAATATTCTAGTTTAAGTAGAATTTACAAAAGTATTTTCTCAATCGAGAATCTTGATTAATTTTTTAACTAATTTTGCAATAAGATCATAATCATATTTTATGATTAGTCAATAGTTTGGATTTTAATTTTAAATTAATATTAATTTAGAATTTAATTCATTTAAAGTTGATAATCATTATTTCTATTATAACACTTTGAACATGGATTTTAGCCCCAAATAGTATTATGAAAGTCTTAAAAAGAAAATATTAAATGCAAAAAATTAATTCCTACATCATGCATCACTCTCTAAAAATGTTTACATTCTTAAGTTTTATTATTTGACGCTTGAGAGTTTTAAATGTGTTCTCTTAAGAAAAAAATCTTTAATATCAAATTATGATCTTTAAAAAGGTATTATGTATTGAGTTGTACCATGAGTATCCAACTTACGGTTTGTAGTGAACATTAATATCCTAGTTATTTATGATAAGAGCAGCATGCTTCCCAATTTCAGTGAATGCAATAAATATTACTTTATTATATGGGAAGTGAGAGACTTCTTCATCTTACATTAACAAATAAGAGCATAGTTAAATTTTTAAAAAGAAGAGTTAAGGAATGGACATAGGCCCATTGGGTGGCGAAATCATTGTATTTTAGTTTGTCATCTTTTTTCAAGGGAGTACTTTTTTTTACTTAGTGCTAAATATAGTCCTTTTCTACATTATTTATTTTTTCTCTTACATCTTGATTACATGTAACTAACTCAAGGTGCATATATTGAGAAAAAAATAATATATATTATTTCTATGAAATCCTATTGAGATCATTTTGTTATTTCATTTTACATTTTGAAATGAGATTTTTAAGTACCCTATTCGTTTGATTTACTTTATAATTTCATAATTGAATCTTGACCATATTTTATTAATTATCATATTTTTTATTTAAATAATTGAAAATAATATCTATTTTAATTGGTGTATGTAATCGATTATTAAAAAAATTTATTTTGCTCTTTAATTTTAATATAACATAAAAAAATTATTAGAGAAATTTATTTTTTGTAATTATTTTTAAATATTAGTCATATAATGAAACTCATTAAATTTATAAATTTTCGGCTATAAAGTCAAAAGTAAAATAATGAAATTGTGCTATTATTATAAAAAATTCTTGACAAGTTGAAGCAACCCCTAATAGTGTGAAGTGGTATAATTAACCGGTATTTCAATAGCGTGGCTTCACCAAGTGTCCATAAAATCATATACTCCAAGTAAAATTCTAAGATAGAGATTTTTGAATCATTTGCCTATATGCTTGTGATTTAACCTTCCTTCATAGTGAGTGATCTAAGCACATTTAAATAATGTGTAGTGATGATAGATGTCTATGGGAAAATAATACATTTTATCTTGGCATTGAAATCAAGAAGAAAGAAAATAAATTTTAATATTATATGATGATTGTACAAGGGATATTCTCAAAAAGTTTAAAATAAATAATCATTAAGTGATTAGTGTATTCCTAATATGTGATTTCAAGCATTCAAACTATAGGGGAACTGGAAGTGTTAAAATATTCAAAAAAATTTCAAGAGCCTAGTTGGGATTGTATTGGTGATACATAATGTGCACATGCCTAATATTTTTCTAGCTAATGATCATTATATAGAACATCCAATAATCACTTATTTTATGGACATATAAAAAATTCTTAACTGGCTCATTGAGACAAGAACCTTTCACTATCTATTTTCAATTTTTAATATTTTAAGAATTTCCTTAAAATATATATATTTATTATTGTAAAAATTAAATTTCAAAAGGACGAGTTTCTCCATGTCAAAAGAAAGGTTTCCTATATAACTTCGAAAGGACAATCAAATTAAGCATAATTTACCAAAAGAGAACCTTACTCACCAAAGAAAAGAACAAAGAAAAAATTAGAAAAGTAAAGTTCATATATGTAGAAAATTCACCAAAGCAAATATAGTAGTCGTAATCAATTTCTCATTCAGATGCACCACTACTCCTGAAAATCTTTCTAAAACTGATCACATGAAGCAATTGGGATTGCTAATAATTTTATATTTCTTTTATAAAAATTTAAAATTTAATAGAAGAAATTTGAATAACTTGCTTTAAATGTATCTTCTAATCTATTTTTTTGTGATGTAAACTGATATTACCATTAAGCGTATAGTACATTAGACTCTGTGTGAGAAAATCATTAGTTGAAGATGGTATAAGAAATAGAAAAATAACTTTAAATTTAATTTTTTCCTAAATTAAGGAATAATTATCTATATCTAGATTTTTTTAAACTTATTCCATAACTAAAGCAATTACTATTTCTTGGTAACCACATAAGATTGCATTCTATTCACTAGGTTAAAAAGATAATTAATCAAGAATCTCTTGATTAAGAAGGGCATTTAAATCATCATATTGGTTAGTGGGCTAGCAAATCAATGGATGGAGAATAACTATCAACAAAGAGGAAAGATTAATACATTAAAAATTGTTAGAATCATTGGAGGAATGAAATTAGATATTATTTTATATGTGATGCTAAGAGTATTGGGGATGCCAACCCTTTGATTTTTATGTTCTTGCTAATACAACTAGCAACTTGATAGTGAATAAAAAAAATCTAGGATTCCTTCCAATAAAACCATTTGCTTCTAATAGATATCTAAGTAAGTGTTATTGTAGTGACATCAATCTAAAAATGTTTACTAAACAAATAAACCAAATTAAATAATTTATTTTGATAAAAGGTAAATTTTAAGGTGTAAAAAGGAGACTTAATCTAATGCAATAAGACATTCATTTGCAAAGTCAATATTATGATTCAACTTACTTATTCTCATGAAAAATACCTTTAATTATACTATCAGATGTAAAATCTTAGCTATGTAAACCACAATTCAATCACACATCTAAGGAAAACTCTTGTTTTCTAGAAATGAAACTAAAAATTGACAACAAGAAGAGTGAGTTGATAAAAATACTTTGATAGATAGTAGTCATATCACCCAATAATTTACCTACCAACATGTGATAACCGATTACCTTTTTATAAATATAGACTGATTACCTATGAAAGTTCATAACTAGAAAAATTCAATGGTTGTAATACTTCATGATTGGTTCAAAAGAAAGATTAATAATTATCTTGATAGAAAATAAGGCCCTCGGATGTCCAACTTTCTAAGAAAAGAGATGTTCAAAATCATCTTGTACCAAATGTAGCAACAGATTATTTTAACTAGAAGAGAAGACCGTAAATATGGTAGTCTAAGAAAGACATCCACTAAGTGAGAATTAGATAGCTTGATAATAAAGTCGGTGGATTGGAAGTCAACTTGCAGAGAAAGAGAGCACAACCCTATAGTAACCATGGAGACGGCCAATCAGAACGAATTTTTTTTAATAGGTGTCATGTATCATGTCAATGTATCAAGAAAAAGGAGATATTGGTGAAGATCGAGCAATTGACCACACAATGGCTACCTAACCAAAGCTAAGGATGAGTGTATACCTTTCAAATCATCTACAACTTGTGATACCGAAGAAAAGTGAAGGATCATTGATATTAGGCCTTCCCTAGCAATGGATGAATGGTGTAAAATTAGAAAGCTTGGAAAAGACAACATATAGTAGTATTATCAAGGGGTTTCTAAAGAAATTTGAATGGAAAGGTTTCACAGTTGTACATGGTAATGGTTAGAGTGAGAGGTGGAAATGTTGGAAAAACTATATGAGATAAAAGGAAAAGGTAACAGAATTGCATAGGCTTTAACAATAGTTAACCAATTCATGAGGACAAAATATGGACAGCAGGGCTCTAAATGATGACTACTAAATGTCGGGAATGATGATGAGGCAGTGGTGGTTAGGCGGTAGTTAATGCTTGCATTGCTAGTGGGTAGGGTATGGACTGTCCATGTTTTGATTTTAAAATTCTTATCTTAATTAAAGAAACTTTTAAGGCATTATTGGACATAAAGTGTCATAAACTTCTTAGATATATAGGTAGTGATTAGGGTGGATATCCCAATGTTGAATTTGGAATATTTGGATTCGTATTTGTTATGAAAGAAATTGCCATCGCCTGGTTGTCAAAAAATAACTAATTCTCGCCCTATCAACTTATGAAGCGAGTATAAAGTTGCAACATCAAGTGTATTTCATGCTTTTTATCACTATAATTGAGAAAGAAAGTCAATGTGGCCATATTTCTGAATAATAACTAGCCACGTAATTTATTACTCAATTACTACGTGACCATATTTTTGAGTTTTAACATAAAATGCCTTCTGATTTCTGTTGTAAACCTTGCGTCTATCAATATTCACATGATAGCTATAAAACTTTTCACCAATATCAAATTATCAAAGAATTTCTGTCGGACGAAATCTTAAAATTTATCATAATTAATTGTGTCAAACCAAGTAATTTTCCAGGAATTAAATTAATCTACTAGATATCATAACCTAAAATATAAAATAAATCAATAAATAAAAAGAGAAGTCAATCTAGTAAATGCCTAAGCTAGCATTTTAATTTTAAATAAAGATCCATCTAATACATATTAAAACCTCAAATTCGAGTAGGAAATGATTCAGGGATGACTTACCCGATATGCAATGTTGGTTCGCACTCCAAGGGGTGGTAGAAGGCTTCGCCATGAGGCTGAACAGGCTGCCGTTGATCATATCCCATGGCATGAGCAGTGCTGGGATCCCAGATTTGTTGTGGGTTTGCCTGGTTGCTCTCCTCCAACTGCTTACAAGCAAAGTATAAAAGCTCACGTCTTCAAGATATTTACAACAAAAATGAGAGAGTTTGAACCAGAACGAGCTTTACAACATCAATTACCCTTCTTTTCAGCGTTTTATTGGCCTCACATAGCATTTGCTCCTGTCATTATAAAATATTTAATACGTAGCAGTCTTGGATAAAATAAATAGATAAATAAAAGTCATTTAGTCTTCACTAATGTGATAAAGAGATATTGAAACCATTTCCAGAGTTTAAAACAATACCCTTCGCTGTAGGTCAGCTAGCTGGTCGAGCATGAACTGCGTCTGTTCCAATATAAACTTTTCTTAATTATCAAAAATTTCTTCTCAGATTTTTCTCTTAGACTAGAATGAAAAAAAAAAATAAAGTTACCCGTGTTGATCTTATCTGCTTAAGTGAATTGTCCAGCTGCCGCTCCAGCTGTTCCAGTTCTTTGCTATTAAGCGGACCAAGGTCCTCGCCCAGTAGATTCCTTTAGAGTTGCAAAATGATGAATACATAAAAGAAGCACATTGTTATTTCTCTTCTATAAAAAGTGAGAAACACGAAACAGAAGCTCTGGAAATCAATACATAAGGCATCACCTCTGGGATCTTTGTAAGGCTTCTACCCGAGATTTTAGTTTCAAGTACTCCTGCTGACTACTCTGTGTTTCAACAAAACAGATTACTGTTAAAACTGGTGCCGATATCTATGAGAACGGGGAAGTTGCTGCCGTTTATAAAACCTGTTTTATTATAATTGTAAACAAAATAATTTTTACTTGAAATTTAATATTAGCATTGCTGAATTGTTTGTCCTCTTGAAAAGGTCCAACGTCATTTTTATTATCGCTGTTACATTTTAGTAAATTTGATGAGATTACATACATAGTGAAGCCAAAGAGAAACAGAATGGAGCATGGGAAATTATAAATTCATCAAGAAGGCTCACAGCAGGTATATAAAATATATATAGACCTATTAGAAAACTCTAGAACTAGTAGAAGGTAATTACAAAGTTACCCTCAGTTAGCTATAAAGCATGTACCCTCATCCATATTAATGGTAGACATAATCTGGAGGTAGGAGATATTCCGTTATGGCTATGATCCACCTTCAAGATGATGGTTCTTGGAGAGAAACTGCAGCTTGGATTTAAAGAGAATGATTTTATGGCTTATGAAGAGCTTTAATAAGGATATCACCTGGTTGATCTTGTGTAGGGATATAATAAATTTCAATTTGAACTTTTTGGAGATGATCTGGAATGAAATAATAATCAACTTCAATGTGTTTAGTTTGAGCGTAGAAGACTGCATTATTGGCGATAACCAAAGCTGAAATATTATCAAAATATATCTTGGTAGGTTGCAGTTGATCAACTCCAAGCTTCGTAGGAAGGCGTCTAGGCCAAAATGTATCGGCGATTGCGATGGCTGAAGCATGGTATTCCGCTTCCATGGAGGACTAGGAAATCGTTTGTTGTTTCTTCGCCGACCATGAGATGGGCGTCGATCCCAAAGAAGAGAAAAAATCTGTAGTGGATTTCTAGTTCATCGAATCGCCCGCCCAATCAGCGTCAAAGAATGTTTGGAGAGTTAGATTGCCATACTTAATGAGTATACCGGTATTGATAGTGCCCTTAGGGTAGTGAAGAAGATGTCTGAGGAGTTGATGGTTGATGCATTAATTGGTAGATTTTGTTGACAGCAAAGGTAATATTAGGATGTGTAACTCTAAGGTAATGAAGTGCAAAGTGCATTAATTGGTAGATTTTGTTGACAGCAAAGGCAGTTGATGGTTGATGCATTAATTGGTAGATTTTGATCGTGTCATTTCTTCGTTTTCTTTTTTATAAATTGTCATTTTTGTAAGATTTTTACCTAATTTGTTCAATTTCGAATAACTGTAGTAGTAGCTTGATACATTTAAAATATATAGCATCTATGTACACATTTTTATACATATTTTTGAGATATTACGCTTTAATGGAAGGTATTTGTATATTTTTCTTTCAGGTACAATCAAATGGATGAAAAATTGTGAAAGGAGTGAAAAATAATCAAATTTGGAGCAAAAATAAAGAAGTGCAAAAAAACCGTGGCGCCTAAGTGCCCAGAACCGGCGCTTAAGCGCCAGAAAAATTGAGAAGACAGCGCCTAAGCACCACATAATTTGTGCTTAAGCGTCAGAGGTAGTTACTTGATGATTTTATGAATATGGATAAATTTTTGAAGCAACTCTTAGTGAAAACGTGGGATATAGTTAATACACACAAAAATACATTCAATTAGCTTTTAAAAGGAGCCAACTCTTGAAAGATTCATTGAATGTGGACACATTATGAAGATACACGAAGGCACCTTTCGGAAAATTATAAGAGAAGACTTGGATTGGATAGAAGAACTCTCTCCAACGCACTTTCCAACACTCCCCCCATAGCCACACCACCGACGCCTCTCTCATAATTTAATTAGGATATTTTTTTATAGAGAAGAAGAGAGGATTTATAGTGTGTGAGTAAAGAGTATTGTAGGAGAAAGGAAAAGAAGAGATTCAAAGAAACTTCAAGAGTTTGGTGGATAAGATTTGAGATAATTTTTTATCTTTGTGACTACATTTGGTTTTAATTTAGACTTCTTGTTTGGTTACATGATTTCTACTTTTAAACTTAAGTGTGTTTGTATTTTCTTCATTAATTCTGAGTAGTTTTCGTATTTTTTTCCTTAAAATGATAAGTGATTAAGTGTTCGATGAAACTTGTGTGAAGTATTAATTATTAATGTTGAAAGAAGTTGTGATGATTTTAAACCTTGTACTTCATTTACTTCTTAATTTGACCAATTAATATGTTAATATCTGTTGTAAGAACATGTAAGATCTGAGATGGTATTATCTTACTCGACTCCTTCCAACAAATCATTTGAGTGAAGTCACTAAGGGGAGAGCTACTTTAAATTTTTCTATTCAACAAATGAAGAGAATAAACATTGGAGAGAGATACTTTAAATTTATTTAACGGAATACCCATAATTCTTCTAAAGGTGGCACTACTCGAGGTTTAGGATTCTCAGCCTTAATTTTATACTTTATGTGACCAATCAGGAGGGGGTTATGATAGATCTGAAGAACTAATACAACATCTTAAACCTATCAATAAGCCCAGTGTTCATACATATGAGTTGCATGTTGGACAAAAGCTAGGGGTAGAGGTAGTGATATACCCTCTACTTCAGGTTTTGGTCTGTCTACATCCCACACTACTTCTTTATAGAATGTTATGGAGCAGCTACTTATTTAGCAGGGCAATATTTTGACTCCTACAAATCAGATTAGAACTATGGAGGCTTGAAATTATCATAATGATGAGTAAATGCAAAGGAAAGTGGATTATTAGATTTCTTATAATGGGCTATGGCAAAGTATTTGAGGGGCGATCATAACGCAGAATTCCCTACTTGCCCCTGATTTACACCTTATGAGCCTGAAGTAGAATTTGAAGAAGAAGATGAAGATGATGTGAGGAGGATGATAATGAGTAGTTCACTATCATGTTTGTTTTTTGTAGTTTGATTTAGTTTTCATGTGGTTTTTAGTCAGTGAACTTAATTTTTTTTAAATGATGTGTATTGTAAATTGGTGTAAAATCTTTTATGTTTAGATGTAGATTGTTTGTTTTTATTTCAGTATTGTTTGTTTTTGCAATTTTTTGCTTATGTTTAGAACTCTCCTTAACTTAGCAAATTTTTTTGATATATCATGTTTTACATAATGCTGTATAACCTGTTTATTGTATTAATTGGTACCTACAAAGTTCAAGTTCAAAGCCCTCTATAGGTTAGATTTATTTAAATGCATTTAATGTTTTCTTTCTACCTTCATTTTTGGTATTAAATGCTTTACCTATTAAAAAATTAAGTTTTAAGGGAAAGAAAATTTTTTCTTAAAATAAACTAAACTTTATTTGTCCTCAATAAGCTTTATTTTTAAAATTATTTTAACATAACTTTTGGTATCTTAACCTGACTGTCTATATGCAACAGTATAACAATGACTTTAATGATCTTTTTCATTTATGTTATCTTACTTTGAAATAGAACAAAAAACTTGATCCCTAAGAAAATAAGAATTTAACTTTTTAATTTATATATATA